GCTTAAAGCTACTGCTCTGGGTCTGTCAGAGCAAGGTTCCAAATGGACTGACCCCAGCAACATCTTCCTTTTGCTAAATCAAAGTAAAACAGTAACTGGACACAGTTTCTGACAGCTAATGTTGGGATAATTGCCTGTAATTATCTTCCCGAACTGCAGTGATTCTTATTATGACCCTCATGTCAAAAGATTTGCCCCATTCCTTAATTACCTGCTGATCTCTGCCCGCTGTTTCCTCATCTGATTCCCAGAAAGCCTTCTGGCTGCCATAAAACTTACATTTTAATATCTAACATAATATTGTCTCTTTGCTTCTGCACAACAGGTCACATGAACACCTTATGTCATCCAACATAAACACATTTTTCCAGAAGTAAAAATAAACAGCAGAAAGACCATGGCAAACATTTCAGAACACGATCCAGAATTAGTAATCATTATTCTTTTATTCTGTCTAATAGCTTCATCTACATGTTTACCTATTTGTTTGCTCAATTTTTTTCATCTCAACCCTTTATTTCATTTCCTTTTTTAAAAAATAAATTGTTTTATAAGTTCCCTTATGGATATTTTTTTAATGATAAACTCACTTTTTTCCCACTGAAAATACCTTTATTTCAACCTAATTTTTCAATCATGATTTTGTTGAGCATAAATTTTCAGATAGACTTTTTTTTCTCCATATCTATCTTCTGGCCTATATTCTTTTTCTTTTTTTGGTTTTTTTTTGTTTTGTTTTGTTTTGTTTTATTTTGTTTTGTTTTGTTTTAGAATAGAACTCTCCTGTAGTTCTAACAGCTGGTTTGGTTTTTTTAATTTAATTTATATTTTATACAAATTTTTAATTTATATTTTATACAAATATAAAACATTTTATATTTGTATAAAATGTTTTTAGACTTAGTTCTCCAATTTTACTAAATGTAACTGATTATACATTTAGTTTTATTTCTACTTGGAAATCATGATTCCTGAATCTGAGATTATATTTTTCATAGATACCAGGAGGATTAAAACCATCCTGGTAGTCTTCAAATATTGTTTCCCTCTCATTGCCTCTTTCTACCTCCAGAAGACTAATGAGAGTATTAGGTTAGCCCATTTATCTTCCATAACTCTTTGTCCTATTTAATATTACTCATATTATCTGTCTGTGCTGTATCCAGTATAATTTTGTCAGTTCTTTCTTCCAGTTTACCCTAGTGATGCTATTTTTTTTAAAATAAATATTTTATTGATTATTTTACATAGAGGAAGGGAGAAGGATAGAGAGCCAGAAACATCGATGATGATAGAAACATCGACCAGCTGCCTCCTGCACAGCCCCCACCAGGGATGTGCCAATGTACATGCCCTTGACCGGAATCAAACCTGGGACCATTCAGTCCTCAGGCCGATGATCTATCCACTGAGCCAAACCGGTTTTGGCTAGTGATGGTATTTTTAAAAGACATCCTACTTGGTTCTTTTATAAATTTGTTTATTTCTTTTTACTAGCCATTCCCTTTCTTGTTTTTAATTCTTTATCATACATCATTAATGATTATAAACATACTTATTATAAATATTTGTATTCAGTAATTCCAAAGTCCCATAATTGAGGATCTAGGTGTACCATTGTGGTGTTGTGGTAGGTATAGAATAAAATTTTTAAAAAGGGCATTGTTTATAGGGTTTCCCAATGATTGTGGTATAAATATTCCCTTATATAAATTTCAGGCTACCAATAGATTGTAACAACTGGTTTTAAAATTTTCTTAATAAGTCTGTGGACTGAAAGGTCCCAGGTTCGATTCCGGTCAAGGGCATATACGTTGGTTGCGGGCACATCCCCGATAGGGGGTGTGCAAGAGGCAGCTGGTCGATGTTTCTCTCTCATCGACATTTCTAGCTCTCTATCTCTCTCCCTTCCTCTCAAAAAAAAAAAAAAAAAAAAAATTCAATAAAATTTTCTTAATAAAAAAAGTGTATATATATAATTCTGAATACTTAATAACTTTTTACAAGTCAATATGAATCAAATCCAGCACACAGTTTATTGTTTCTGCTACTTCTCACTCATTGCGTCCTTTATAATATTGGATTATAAACTCATGTTTGGCAAAGTTTAATTTTTTGAAACCTGACTAATTGAGGGAGTTTCTCCAAAGATAATTTTTATTTTATTTTTCCAGACACCTTAGGGATTTCATCAGTGAAGGACCATTTCTCATATTTACTTTAAGTCTAGGTTTCCCATACCTTGCTGGTAGAATAATTTCAAACTATACCAATATGGGTGATGGAGGCCTATAATTAAAAATAATCAGAGAAGACTTTTTTCCATATTGATCCAAGGATAAAACAGACTTGATACCTACTCATGTCCCTTTGTCAGGGGTTAGAATTGTTCTTCATTTTGGATTCCTGCATATTTTGATGACCTTTTGAGGAGCTTAGATATGTATTTAAAAGGATGCTGCTTATGCTTTACCCATAATTTTTAGGGGTTCTGGAGGAGGAAATTTATAAATTACCTAATCTTGTACATTGCCAATAGAAGTTTATAAAAAAAATTGTCAATTTTAATCAAATACATTAACTCCACCTTAAAAATTTAAATGTTGCCCTGGCCAGTGCAGTTCAGTTGGTTGTTGTCCAGGGAACTGAAGGGTCCTTGGTTTAATTCCCAAAGCACAAGTCCAGGTTGCAGGTTCAATCTCTGTTTGGGGTACATATGGGAAGCAATGGATCAATGGTTCTTTCTCACAATTATGTTTCTCTCCCTCTCCCTCCCTCTCTGTTTAAAATCAATAAAAACATGTGTTTTTGTTTTTGTTTTTAAATTGAATCTTATAAATACATTAGAAAAAGATTAAAACACCTCTGTAGGAGATGGTATAGCATTGTAAAACAAGTAATAAGGGTACAAAGTCAGAACAAAGGGGATTTGATTTCAATTTTCCCACTAATAGCCATAGGACTTCACACACACATCTTAACCTTTATACATCTCTACTTTATTTTCTATTAAGACAATATAATGAAAGCTATTACTAGTATAAGGATAAAAGGAATAATACATCTAAAGTATATAGCACAGTGCGGTCCTATAGTTTAGTAAGTGGTGACTTAAAATATTTTTTATGTCTTGCTATCATTTATGCAAACAGTATCATTGGAAAAATAAAGGTTTAACTTTAATGCACAACATATTCTTGTATCTTCTAAATTTTTTTCATTATTTGTAGGAACCAATGCAAAGTAAATGCATATATTTTAGAATTGCAATTAATTTAAATAACCATTTTATATGTTAAATTAAATCAACTAACTGAATATTGTTGAACATTGTTATTGTATATATTTAGTTGTTGAATATTGTTATTGTATATATTTATATTTTCAAACAATGTTTCGCATGGGAACATAATATGAAAGAAAATGTGTGTATTTTCACATAGTAGAAAATTTTCCAAATAATTGAAACTATGACTCAATTGATGTTTTGTTTCTCTTAGAGGGAAATGTCTTACTTGTTTTTATTTCTAGAAGTGCTTTGGTAAACTGTTTGGGATAGAAGCTATGACCCCAAGAACATGCTGAAGTTGTTAATTTGATCTACCAAAGGCAAAAAGGAGAATATGTGTTGCTTAGGATGGGAGGTAGGAAAAGTGAGGAGGAGGAAAAGGTGAAGAGAGTAAGATTTTTACTGTGTATACTGTCTCTTGGTCTCCCAAATATTCATTAGAACTCTGTTAAAATGTGGAAAATGTGTGGCATGAGCCCCTGTCCCACAAATCCATATGCAGCAGCATTGTCTTTAGGCATATAACCTAACTGGAGAGAAACTGAGATTTTGTTTTTTTCTTTGTTTATGACATGCTTTTTCTGCCTCAATATGTGTTTCTTAATCCTCAAAATTAAGTAACTTCCTCAAGATTTAGCTGTATATTAATCTACTAACTTTTCTTGAACCAGAGTAATCCTTAATATTACCATCAAAGATTTTTTTATTTCATGTTTTCTTCCCATTTTCACCCCCAGTAATAACCTCTCTGTCTTCCATACCTGCCTTCTTTTCTCTACTCATTTTCATTTTAATTCTTTTATACTCCCTTGGGTGGTTTTTTGTTTTTTGTTGTCAATATGAACTTCACATAACTGGTTCATTTTTTTTACACTTGTAGTTATCTTTTTTTCCTCTTCAAATAAGGTTTTTTAACCTATAATGGCTCTATTTATTTTTTTCTCTACCATTTCTCATTTTTTCTTACATTTTAAAATTTATTTCAACTTTCATTTGACTTTGTGTTTCTCTTTGCTTTCTCGAAACTTAGATGCCACTTTATCTTTGAAACACAGTGAAAAGGATTGCTTAAGTCCATTTCCTATAAGCATTCTTCCTCCAACTTGTATTCATCTGATTTTTGCTTTTATCTTTCTAAAAATATATTTGGCAGGCAGGCGAGCAGTTGGAGGCCAGCAGTCCTGGATTGTGACAGGGATGATTGACTGCCCGTTTAGGCTCGATCCCACCGGATCAGGCCTAAACGGGCAGTCGGACATGACTTGAGGATCCCAGATTGGAGAGGGTGCAGGCTGGGCTGAGGGACACCACACCACACACACACACATACTCACACACACCCCTGTATATGAAACTTATGCACTGGGCCTCTAGTTGTAAATAATGCTGCATTGAACATATGGACACATGCATCTTTGCAAATTAGTGTATTGGATTTTCCCCAATAAATATATCCAGAAGTGGAACTGCAGGGAACATGGCAGTTTCATTTTTAATTTTGCTAATACCTGTTTTTTGATTTATTGCCGAGGTGTTGGCAAAGGAAGTGAGAAAGCCCTCAAGGACTGTTGGTGGATTATTCCATTTTATTTTGTTAGAGTGGTGCTAAAACCTATAATGTTACGATTCTAAGACTTAAGAAAAATAATACTCTGCTGGAAGATACAATTGACATGTTATTTACATTAACTTTTTTTTCCCTCCTCTGTAGGTCGAAAGTTTAAAAAGTTCAATAAAGTCAGAGTGATGAGGGCACTAGATGCGGTCGCGCTCCCACAGACAGTGGCCATTCCAAATGAAAGCCAAACCCTAAGCCAGAGGATCAGTTTTTCGCCAAGTCAAGACTTACAGTTGGTCCCCTCGCTGATCAACGTGCTACTGAACATTGAACCAGACATGGTCTATGCAGGACATGACAGCTCCAAACCTGATACCTCCAGTGCTTTGCTGACGAGTCTTAACCAACTAGGCGAGAGACAGCTTCTTTCAGTGGTCAAGTGGTCTAAAGCACTGCCAGGTAAAAATCATTTGCAAATAGTAGAAAGTAACACAAATGTTGCTATGTGTGTTATACTAGTCAATTGTTAAATAAAAGTCTGTGCAGTAAATTACCTAGAATGTAAAAAGCAACTTATAGTATGTGTTTCAGCAGCTCCAAGTATTGTAGTTAGGATCCTAGATTATAGGACCTTACTGTGTGCCATTGGAGAAACAAGATATGTAGCTTACACTCTGATTCTTATTTATAAGTCAAGAATTACATATATCAAGCAGTTAAAAAGCAGCATACATTTATGTTCAACATAGACATGATAGTAGTTCAAAGAAAGACACATTGACCATCTTCTTTTATTACTATGTCTAGTTCATTCTCAACCCTGTTTTGATCAAGCTCAGTTGGTTGAAAATAGAACTAGAAGAGTCTATTATATAACACATCAAAAATAGTATTCAGAGTACAGCAGGGTATCTATAGGCAACTGAGAAACAAAACTTCTAAACATACAATAAATAAATAATTTTCACAGAGACATGAATCTCCAGTCACTATTTTTTCTGATTTATACCAAACCAAGGAGGTGACGATCTGAATTTAAATCATGTCATCACGAAAGGATTTCAGTTATGTAAGCTATTTTTGCTCCCATAGCACCACTTTACAGGAGCTGAGAGGTTGAAAGAATTACAAGGACACAGTGCTCCCTTGGCTAAATCTTAGACTGCAGAGCCAAGAGAATATGTGGGTAGCAATTGCTTTGTGGAGGTGTTAATACTGTACTTAGAAATAAAACTCTTTTTCAATTACATTCCCTTTACACCAATAATATCCTTCTACTCCTTTAGACTAATTTATTTTTCTAATACCTGATTAAGAATTAAACATATTATGTTATTTTAGTCTCCAACTAAATTCAATAACCTTTTAAAAATATATTTTCTCCCCAATCTGCCTTAATATATTCTCTGTCATTGGTCTACCTGAAAAGGTTGAAATGCAATAGATGAATTGTTATTGAAAATTCAAGGTTTCATGAAACATAGAGAAAAACAGATTTCTGGTTGTTGAATATATATGTTGAGAAAACTTAATAAAATCCACTTCTAATCGAGATAAAGTAATTTTTACAGAAAAATCAAAATGCCTGGGTTTTTATTAGCTTCAATATTGCTGAAAGGCCTTGGACATGCAATTTTTTTTTATTAGAAATGTTCTAAATGTTTAAAACTGACAGTAAAATAGTTACCAAATTTGATAGACCTTTAGTAAATAAAAATATTATAATAGCATTAACTTTTTCTGTTTAAAAATGAGTGTTTAAATGCAAGTTTAACTTTTACCAGTTTTTTTGTTATTTAGAAAATGCGATTTTATTTTTGTTAATATAGCTCATATTTTTTTGTTTGTATTTTGTAAGTTCTTTATTGTTTAAAAAGATTCTGCTATCTGCAAGGTAAGAAAGTAACCAGCTATAATTTAAAAGATAATTTTATTCACCTTGGATATAAGCTGAATTTTTAAAGTTGAAACCCTATTATCTGCCCAAGATTGTTAATCTCTGCACACCCTCAATAAGAGTGAGGGAAATTTTTACATTGAATTTGGTGGCAATATTTTTAATGCTGCAAAATATGAAAGTAGGTAGGAAGGATGGCATCACCCACTATTACATGTACTGTTTTTCATTAACTGCACAATAAGGAAAGCATTAAGATTATCAAAGTACTAGAAGCCTGGTGCATGAAATTCATGCATTGTGTGTGTGTGTGTGTGTGTGTGTGTGTGTGTGTGTGTGTGTGTGGAGGGGGGAGGGGTCCCTCAGCCAGGCCTGCACCCTCTTGCAATCTAGGACAGCTGGCTTCTAATTGTTCACCTGCCTGCTTGCCTGATTGATCACTCCTAACTACTTGTCTGCCTTCCTGATTGCCCCTAACTGCTTGCCTCCCTGCCTGATCACCCCTAACTGCTCCCTTGCCTGCCTTCCTGATTGCCCCTAACTGCTTCTACCTGCCAGCCTGATCACACCCTAACCACTCCCCTACTAGCCTGATTTATGCCTAACTGCTCACCTGCCAGCCTGATTGCCCCTAACTACCCTTCCCTGCCAGCCTTGTTGCCCACAACTGCCTTCCCCTGTTGGCCCAGTCACCCCCAGCTGCCCTCCCCTGCAGGCCTGGGTCTCCTCCAACTGTCCTCCCCTGCAGGCCTGGTTCCCCCAATTGTTTTTTCTTGCAGGCCTGTCCCTCCCCCCATCTGTCCTCCTGTGGCATCCATCCTGTGTCCAAATGGGGGTGGCCATCTTTGACATGGGGCAACCATCTTCTGTGTTGGAGTGATGGTTAATTTGCATATAAATGAAGTGTTAGAGAACTCTACTATTGTATTAATGTTGATCTCTTTCTTTATGTCTGTTAATATTTACTTTATGTATTTAGGTGGTCCTATGTTGAGTACATAGATGTTTACAAGAATTATATTATTTGTTGGGTTGATCTTTTTATCATTTTGTAATGCCCCCTTTTTTTTGTCTCTTATTACGGACTTTGTTTTAAAATCTATTTTGTCTAAGTATTGCTAACCCAGGTTTTGTTTAGTTTTTACTTACATGAGAATTTTTTTATCTGAAGTGAGTCTCTTATAGGCAGCATATGAGGTGCTGTTTTTTCATATAATAAGCCACCCTATGTCATTTAATCTATTTAGATTTAAAATAATTATCTATTGATATAATAATAAAAACATAATATGCTAATTAGACCAGACATCCTTCTGGATGAAGCTGAGGCTGTGAGGGCCAAGTCCCTTGCGCAAATTTTAATTGGGCCTCTAGTTAGTTAATAATAAGACAGGTATGTAGTTATTGCCATTTTATTAATAGTGTTCTGGTTGGTTTTTTTTTTAATTTTTTTATTGTGGTTCTTCTTGGTTCTATTCTTATGCTCTCTTGTATTTTGATGATAAGTTTCTGTAGTTCATGCTTGTATTTCTTTCTCTTTATTTTTTGTACATCCATTATAATGTTTTTTGAGTGTTTTTTTTTGGTTTATGGTTGATATATGTGGTTATCAGATGGTTATGTTTATAGCAGTATATTTTAAGTTCATGACTGCTTAGGTTCTAATGCATTCTAAACTCCCTACATATTTTACTCACTCCCACAAGTATGTATTTGTCATCATTTTTTTTTACCTCTTATATGTGTGTATCCCTTCATTTATTATTGTATTCATACATGATTTTATTTTTTTTATCTTTTAAGCTTCACATTACCTTTATAATTGGTTGATCCGCTACTATCACTGTTTGCATTTTTCAGTGAGATTTTTGTTTTCCTGTTTTTTGTTTTTTATTTTTAATTTTTAGTTTTGACCTTTTATTTTATATTTGAAGTCCCTTTAACATTTCTTGTAATGCTGATTTCCTTGTGATGTACTCCTTTATCTTTTTGCGTGTCTGGGAAACTACCTCTCCTTAAAGTCTAAATGATAACATTGATGCATAGAGTATTTTTGGTAATAGCTTTTTCTCACTCATGAATTTGGACATATTATGACAATCTCCTCTGGACTTCAAAGTTTCTGTTGAAAATCAGCTGCCAATAGTCTTATGGGAGCTCTCATGTATGTAACTAGCTGCTTTTCTCTTGTTACTTTTACAGTTCTTTCTTTGTTTTTAACACCTCATTTTAGTTATAATATGTATTGGTATGGGCCTCTTTGGTTCATATTGTTTGAGACTCTGAACTTCCTGGATTTGTATGTCTATTTCCTTCACCAGGTTGGGGAATACTTTCTGTTGCTTCAAATAAGTTCAATACCTTTCTTCTCTTCTCCTTCTGGGACCTCTATGGTGTGAGTGTTGGTAACTTTATATCCTTTAATATCCTTAGAGGTTCCTTTAATATTCTTCTTCTTCTTCTTCTTCTTCTTCTTCTTCTTAGAGGTTCCTTTAATATTCTTCTTCTTCTTCTTCTTCTTCTTCTCCTTCTTCTTCTTCTTCTTCTTCTTCTTCTTCTTTTTTTTTTTTTTTTTTTTTTTTTTTTACTATTTTTAGTTGGGTGGGTACCCTACCTTTTCTTCTAGATTGCTGATTTGATCTTCCACTTCATCTAATATGCTTTTGATCCCCTCTACTGTATCTTTAAATTTAGTTTGTGTGTGTGTGTGTGTGTGTGTGTGTGTGTTTTCATTTCCGATTAGTTATTTTTTCTATTATTTGTCTCTTTGTTGAGTTCATCTCTTTTCTTGAATACTTTGAACATCTTTATTACCAATCTTTTGAATTCTTTACCTATTATATTGCTCATCTCCATTTTTTTTTTTTTTTTTTTGGAGTTTTGACCTATTCTTTCATTTAGGACATGTTTGTCTCCTCGTTTTGGCTTGTTCCATGTAGTTATTTCTATGTAGTAAGTGCACTACATCTCCCAGGCTTGAAAGAATCGTCTAACATAGAAGGTGTCCTCTCGGTCCCAGTAGTAGTACAATGCCCCTGGTCACCTGAGCCAGATGCCCAAGGTGTGTTTCCTGGGTTGTGTGTGCTCTCCTGTTACAGTTGGGCTCCAATGCTGCTGGCACATCTGTGGATGGAGTTGATTCTCAGGCCAACTGTCTGTGAGGACTAGCAATGACTACATTGGATAAGCTATTGTGTGGAGGCCGACTCCAGGGAGTGGGAGTCACGTTAGCAGGGCTCTAGTGCCATCCATGCTGTTTCAGTTGTGGAGCTGCTTGGGTGGGGCGCTGTTGCAATCTGAAGCCAGTTGCTGATTATGTAGGGCCTGGAGTCTCTTACTGGGCTCTTGTGGGGGCTAAGGTCAGCTGCTGCTTTTCCTGAGTTTGGGGCTGTTTGGTAGGAGCTAGAACATGATCTACAGTTGGTCACTGCTTGTGTTAGGCTTGGAGTGGCTGAAGAGAAACTATGTTGTGAGCTGAGCCTGGCTGCTGCTTGTGCCAGGCTTAGGGATACTTGTTGGTAACTTGAATGCAAGTTGAGGTCAGCCACTGCATCTAGGAGGT